GTGTCTCACTTATCTCCTCAATTCAAGAAAAAATGCACTTAATTTGAGCAAAAATGATTTATTTAGATTTCAGTTTTTTGCAGTGTACCTGAAACATTTAATATCAGCTGTTTAAATTCACTGTTAGACAAATATTATTTGGTTTCTACCAGGGAAGATCTCATTGTGTGCCATTTTCAGCTTGTTAGCCACTTCAAAATAGGGTTTCTTCTGTTCCTCACTGAGTTCAAGCCACTCATATCCAAGTTGAACACTGACCCTTTGGCTGGGAAAGCTTTCTTTACAGCCACTCTGTGGATGCGAGTCGCACTAAATAGCATCATTGGCCTTTTGATCCACCCATTGCCTTTGGCCAACCCAGTATAGGTGAAATCTGAGGAAGACTTCTGGTTTATTTCCATCCAGTCATAGTAACACTGTTATTTCTACTTTCAAATGCTCTAACACACAATATTGAATTTATTACAAAGCAACTAATGTTATAAAGTCATTAACAGTTTAAACCCCAGTTATTATTATTATATATTTTTTGTGAATTAAAATGTGCATTATTTTCCAGTGTAAGCAACTTTTTTCTGATGGAGGAATGGTAAAACTGGTGATTGGTCTATCTTCTCCTCGTCTTTCAGAGTCTTCAGAGGGGCATGCTGGAGGGATGGTCTGTCACTTGTTTGCACCATATTCAACTGAAATTTATTATTATTATTTTACATTAAGTCACCATATTATCACATTTGTGGCAGTAGATATAACAATACTCCCTTAGGTTTTTGCTGTCTGTGATGTATGGAAGGAACAGCGGCCTCTAGTGTCACTATTTTGAACTGTAGGTAGAAAGACTTCGCTGGAGGCAGACGTTTTTATAGCCCTGACCTACGGAAGAGGATTAGGGCCACTGAAAAAAAAAAAAAAAGTTAACTGATTTTTAAATTTTATTTCAGTTTAACATGGGAAAAAAGTCAGACTTTTTTCCTATGTTAAACTGAAATAAAATTTAAAAATCAGTTAACTTTTTTTTTTTTCAGTGGCCCTAATCCTCTTCCGTAATGACCTGACAAAAAGTCTCTTCTCGGAAAAAAATAAATCTTAATTGGTTGATTTCGGTTAAGCAAGTGTTTTCCGTTCCCCTGAAGAAGCTGCTAAGCAGCAACTGAGCGTTTGACAGTATTTAATATTTCCTCTTGTTTGCGGCTTCAGTAGCCTGTTTAAAAATAACAGGCTAGTGCCAGCCAACGGAAAAAATGGTTCTGGAAATTTTAACCGAAAATAAAATATTTTACATCAATGTGCACCGTAGCATGGTAACCAATACAAACCAAACGGTAATCACCTGATTTATTTATTAATTTATTTTTACCGTGGGGAAAAAAATAAAATAAAAAATAAATAAAAAATATATCTTTTAACTTTGAAAATGGGTAATTTATCCATTTATTCCATGCACTACTTGAACTGCATTTTACTTTCTAATCATTATAAATTATAATAGACATATCTTTCTTAATATTTGGAAAAGGTCCACCCCAAAAAAAAAAAAAAAAGTTTACTAATCAAACTAAAGTTGAAAAAGTTACTATATATATATATATATATATATATATATATATATATATATATATATATATATATATATATATATATAAATATATAAAACACTGGAGTTTGTTTTCCAAGTTTGAAGACGTTTTGCTTCCCAACCACAAAGCTTTTTCCTTGGATTGGAACCCATCTTCAAACGTGGAAAACAAAGTCCAGTGGATTGTTGTTGTTTTTTTTACTTTTTTGGAATGACTATGACCAGGATGACTGAGAATCTTCACCAGTAATAAAACCAAAGGCGTTCAGGACATGCAATGTCCCAATAATTAGTGTTTCTCCTGTTTTAAATTCCCCTGTAGCATCTCAGTTAGAACAAGATCAGGAACAGGGTGCTATTTTGTTCCAGGAGTTTATGTAATAGATAAAGCTACATTTTGTTAGAGAAGAAAGACACTGTAGTAAAAAAAAAAACAAAACAAGAAAAGTGAAGAAACAATAACTGACACAAATTAATTAATAAAGTTTTAAAGTCAATTTTCTCTGTGAGCCCTCCTATAGAATGTTTATTTAATGTGCGATTGCTCCTGGATGTAAAGAACTAGAGGAGAGCTGAGGCGTCCAACTGCCACAAGAGTCCGGTTCCTCTCAGTTAATCCCTCTAGGATTTTCTGACATGTTTCTTGTGATTGTCATAATTGTAAGGTTA